AGTAGCTGGGACTACAGGCACGCACTATCACACCTGGCTAATGTTTAATTTTTTTGTAGAGATGGGGTCTTGCTCTGTTGCCCAGGCTGGTCTCAAACTCCTGGGCTCAAGTGATCCTCTCACCTCAGCCTCCCAAATTGCTGGGATTACAGGCCTATGCCACTGCTCCAGCCCATGGCTTCTTTCTTGCTAAAAAGACAGAGCCGAACATGCCCCAGACATTTGTTACCTGGCCCTTTACAGAAAATATTTGCTGACTCCTGCCCTAATTCATCCGTTAACCTCTTTTGGTGGAGTGAGTGAAGCATCTTTCTAACTGATGTCTATGTCTCCAGTCTTGTTCTCCTCCCATCCATTTTTCTCACTCTGCCCTTTGTAAAGGGAAAATCTGGTTATGATGCTTGGCTGCTTGCTCCACTGCCTCCTTCTGCTCTCTTGATGGATTCCAAACACCTTCTCACGGTCTGCAGGTTTCTTCCACTCAGCCCCAGCCCTCCTTTTGCCACTGTGCCACGTTCAGCTATATGCAGCTTCCAGGCACTGAGTTCCCATGGCACCTAGGTCTCCCTGCAGGTGTAGCCATTGGGGTGTGCTGCTTCGTCTTCCTGGAACTACCTTTCTGTCTGCTCCTTACCTGGCCAACTCTGACTCATTCTCATTTCTCTCGGGAAAGCCTCTTGACTTCCCGAGGCTGGGCTAGGAGGCTTCTCTGTGTGCTTCCAAGGTGATGGATTCTTCTTCCGTTACAGGACATATCGGGTTACATTGAAAAATTCATTTGCTTCCTTCCTTCTTTCCTTCCTTCGTTCCTTCCTTCCTCTCTTCCTCCCTCTTTTATATATTATATTAGTCACTAATTGCTCTAAATACAACGAAACAAAACAAAACTAAAATAATCCAAAGCTCCCTGCTGCTCTCAGAGGCTTGCACGCTGGTGGGCAGAGATAGAAATTAAGCAAGATTAGGAAGTAGACTAGAGAATATTAGAGAAGAAGACGTCTTGAGAAGAAGAAATAAATCAGGAAGAGGATGTGAAATACTGGGGGCGTTGACATTTTAGATGGGGTGGCTAGACAAGGCCTCCCTGAGAAGACCTCTTCTGGGGAAAGACTTGCAGGATGGGAGGGAGTGAGCCATCTAACTATTTGGGGAAGAGCTTCTCGAGGTAGGGAATGTTGTGGCATCTAAAGGTACGGTACGAAGTCCTGAAGGCAGGAGAAATGAGGCCAGTGTGGCTAGAGAAGAAAAAAGGAGGAAAAGAGCAGGAGGACGGAAAAATGCTGTGGGGTGGCCAGGTCCTATAGGCCTATGGGAAGGACTTTGACCTTTACTCTGAGGAACGTGGGAGCCATTGTAGGGTATTGGGCAGAAGAGTGACATAACCTGTCTGGAGCTTGCCACAGAGTCCTTTTGTCTGCAGTTGTACTCTCTGTTAGACAGACAAGCTCCTTGAGGGGAAGCATTGTGTCTTATTTGCCTTTATTCTCAGGACATAACACATCTAGCTTGTAGAAGACCTCAATATATGTTTAACAAATGAACAATGAATGAATGAAAGAATGAATAAATGCATGAATGACTGCTGTCTCCCAACTGCCAGATCCTGGCTCCTAAGGGCTCTGAGAATCTTCTCCCTGTGGAAGGAAAGCTCTGGTAGAAGATGTTGCCAACATCTAAGGCCTCGGGGTTCTTAGCTGCTTGCTTGGATGTCGCTAGGGCAGCAACATACATCCAAACCAGTTTCACTGTTGCCACAGAGCGGCTGCTTAATGAATCAAATTCACCCGGAGGGAGGATTTTGGGGTTGACCCTGTCCTTCACAAGCTTCTGCTGGAGGAAGTCATAGGGTTATTACCAAACTTGCAGATGGAGGTAGGAGGAACAGAGGGTTTGTTGACGGATGGACTCAGGATTTACAGCTATCTTTATAGGTTTGAGCCTATAAAGAGGCCCCATCAACTGAAGAAGGTAAGATAGGGAGATGTCAGCCTCTGCATTGGAGCCCCAAATCAGCAGTAAAAACGGCCACTGGGGGGATTTATAGCTTTGGTAGGTGTCAAACACTCGGAGTTAAAAGTGTGAAGCAACTGTCAAAAGTCTCAAAGCTCGCTGAGAAGCCACTGTAGATGTAGATGAATAGATGAGTCGTATCTGAGAGCTGTAAGCTGCCTCTGATTGTGTAAAGCCACTCCCAGGGTTCCAGGTAGGACACCTCCAGGGAACTGTGAGCACACTGGGAGGATGACAGGGAGGGGTATTTGAGAGCACAGTGGGTGGTTAGTTTGGAGAAGAGGAGTCTGGGGGTGGGACTTGATAACTGTCTCCAAATATTATTAGTTCTGAATTATTAGGTCTGAGAGAACTTAGGTTTGAGAGTTAATGTGAATGGCATCAAGGGGCTGAAATAAGACCAACTGGAGATCAGCTCAACTGATGGAAGCACTGTCCAGACATCAGATGGGTTGCTTTAAGCCTCTCTCTCTTTTTAGTAGGGAGGGGAGGACGATAGGTAGGGAGGAATGCTGTGGAATTGACTTAAGCATCAGATAAGAACTTTGACTAGAGTTCTTCAAAATGCCTTTTCACACTGGGGTTCCATGAATGCATCTCCTCTATTACTGTGTGGCCGACTGTGCTAGTTACTCCTTAATATCCATTCTTCACTGCTTCCTCAGTAATGATAACCCACATTTTTAGAATGCTTTTCAAGAGCAAGGGCTTCTTTCCTCGGTCTCGCTTGGAACTAGGCGTGGTCAAGGGGAAAACTACGGCTAATGGACTAAAAGTAGAAGTATCATGTTCAACTTCTGGGAAGTAGTATCAAAGAAAGCGGGTGTGTCCTTGTGTCTCTTTCCTAATTGCTGCAGGCTAGAATGTGGATGTGGTAGCTGGAGCTCAGCAGCCATTTTGGGCCATGAGGTAGAAGCTCTGTGTTGATAAGAAGCCTGGGTTCCTGATGATCTTGGCCAGTATTGCAGCCATGGACTGCTGACCTTTACTATTTATTTATGTGAAAGCTATATAAACTTACTTTTTTTTTTTTTGAGATGGAGTCTCACTCTGTCACTCAGGCTGGAGTGCAGTGGCATGATCTCGGCTCATTGCAACCTCTGCCTCCTGGGCTCAAGCGATTCTCCTGCCTCAGCCTCCCAAGTAGCTAGGACTACAGGTGCACACCACCACGCCCAACTAATTTTTGTATTTTTAGTAGAGACGCGGTTTCACTGTGTTGGCCAGGCTAGTCTCGAACTTCTGACTTTGTGATCTGCCCACCTTGGCCTCCCAAAGTGCTGGAATTACAAGCGTGAGCCACCATGCCTGGCCACAAACTTGCATTTCTGACACACTATAGTTATTTTGGGTTTTCTGAAACTTACAAATGAACCCATTTCTCTCTAATATACCATGGAAAGTAAACACACACACACACACACACACACACACACGAGAAGAAACAGCATCGCTTGGCTTCAAATCCCAGCTCTACTACTTACTAAGTGCTGTGTGTCTTTGGACACGTTTCTTAACATTTCTGTGCTTCAGTGTCCAAACTGAGAAACTGGGAATAATAATAGTAACAACTGTGTAGTTTTTGTTTGTCTGGGTTTTGTTTTTTTTTTTTTGAGAAGCAGATTAAATGAGAGAATAAATTTATTTAAAGACATAGAACAGTGGTCTATACATAGTAAAGATTTCATACATGTTAGCTACAATCATCATGTAGGCACCATCGATACTTTCTTTTTCTTGAGACAGACTTTCACTCTATTGCCCAGGCTGGAGTGCAGTGGCACGATCTTGGCTCACTGCAACCTCTGCTTCCTGGGTTCAAGCGATTCTCCTACCTCAGCCTTCCCAGTTGTTGGGATTACGGGCGCCCGTCACTGTGCCCAGCTAATTTTTGTATTTTTAGTCGAGACGAGGTTTCACCATGTTGGCCAGGCTGATCTCGAACTCCTGACCTCAAGTGATCCACCCACCTCGACCTCCCAAAGTGCTGGGATTACAGGCGTGAGTCACCGCGCCCCTTGGCAAACCATTTACACTTTAATTTCCTCATACTCTGCCTCTACAAAACCATAGGGTTTTACCAAATATGTTTTCCCTTATTTCGTTTTCATTTGATGACTTCCATTAACGTCCCAGAACACAAAAAGAAACCATGTACGAGTAGTCAGAATGCAGTTTATGCATAAGCAGCCAAGCTATTTTCTTAAGACAATCTGCTGTAAGGCATGGGGTTGAGGAAGGAACTGTGTCTAGAAGAATGGGCCGCTGGGGTTTGCTCTGTGTTCTGAATAACTTCCCTGTTCTGGTTATGATGTCTTAGATTGTATAGAAACATACATTTCATAGCAGTAAGCAGTAATCAGTACCTACAGAAAGAGTACCCTCCTCTGCTTAGAGGTTGTCTTTCTGAGTTTCTTAAGAAGTCTAAGTTTGAATACCATCTGTTCATTTGTTTATTTATTGAGTTATTCATGGGGATACACAGTTGGGTAAGAAGGGGTCCAGACTCCTAAGAAGCTCACAGTTGAGTAAAGACGGCAGATGCAGCTGCATTTCCTGTGCCTCTCTGGACATGCCTCTTCTCATGTCTGACTCTCTGAGCCGTGGTTGTCAGTGGGTGATTAAGAGTTTGCCAGCAATAAAAGGTGGGGTGGTGCTTCTGGGAACTGATCCTCCAGAGGCGTCTGCACACGTATGGAAGGATGTACGTGAGCAGTTATTCATGGCAGCATCGCTTGTAGGAGCAGAAGCCTGGAGGCAACGCAGGTGTCATCTTTAGAGGACTGGGTAATCTGTGAACATCCCCACTTGAATACTATACAGCAGGGCAAAGGAGCAGGGCTGCTGACTGTGCACAGACCCGGCAAGCTTTCCAGAAAATGCTGTGAAGAGACAGAAGCAAAAAGCGTTGAGTACATATAGGTGGTTATATTTTGTGTAAGAAAATATCATCTGTATCCGTATTTGCTTGTATTTTCGGAAAGACTGGAAAGATATCAGGGATCTCAGAGAACAAAGTAAGATAAAGGGTAAGTGGAATAAGTTGTTTTGTTTGTTTGTTTGTTTGAGATGGAGTCTCACTCTGTCGCCCAGGCTGGAGTGCAGTGGTGTGATCTCGGCTCACTGCAACCTCCGCCTCCTGGGTTCAAGCGATTTTCCTGCCTTAGCCTCCCGAGTAGCTGGGACTACAGGCATGCACCACCACGTCCGGCTAATTATGTTGTATTTTTAGTAGAGTTGGGGTTTCACCATGTGGGTTAGGCTGGTCTCGAACTCCTGACCTCAAATGATCCGCCCACCTCAGAATAAGGTTTTAATGTTATAATTTGATAATTATCTTATTCAACAACATATCAAATCTGAAAGAAGTCACATGAATTTGTTTTATTATTATACTTTAAGTTCTAGGGTACATGTGCACAATGTGCAGGTTTGTTACATAGGTATACATGTGTGCCGTGTTGGTTTGCTGCACCCATTAACTCATCATTTACATTAGGTATATCTCCCAACGGTATCCCTCCCCCAGCCCCCTACCCCCCGATAGGCTCCAGTGTGTCCTGTCTCTCTGTGTCCAAGTGTTCTCATTGTTCTATTCCCACCCGTGAATGAGAACATGCATGTTTGGTTTTCTGTCCTTGTGATAGTTTGCTGAGAAGGATGGTTTCCAGCTTCATCCATGTCCCTGCAAAGGACATGAACTCATCCTTTTTTATGGCTACATAGTATTCCGTGGTGTATATGTGCCACATTTTCTTAATCCAGTCTATTATTGATGGACATTTGGGTTGGTTCCAAGTCTTTGCTATTGTGTATAGTGCCACAATACACATATGTGTGCATGTGTCTTTATAGTAGCATGATTTATAATCCTCTGGCTATATACCCAGTAATGGGATTGCTGGGTCAAATGGTATTTCTAGTTCTAGATCCTTGAGGAATCACCACACTGTCTTCCACAATGGTTGAACTAATTTACACACTGCCACCAACAGTGTAAAAGTGTTCCTTTTTCTCCACATCCTCTCCAGCATCTGTTGTTTCCTGACTTTTTAATGATCGCCATTCTAACTGGTATGAGATGGAATCTCGCTGTGGTTTTGATTTGCATTTCTCTGATGACCAGTGATAATGAACATTTTTTCAAGAAATCACATGAATCTTTAATCTGGGGCTTTAGCTAATGTATCCTGAACATTTTAGAAGTTGTGAAAAAGTTTGAGTTATGGTAAAAATGACCAGCATTAGTAAATATCAGGCTTTAACTATTTGAATGTGCTTTTCTTTGCAGCTAATGACACTGCCTAGGGATCGTAGAAGAGCTGAAAATAATGTTTTATATTTAAAAAGGTGAGGAGAGAGTCTTTTTTAGCCTTCAATAATTCTTACAAATGTTTCCCTTAATTTGCTATCATAATACTAACCCTAGTGAGTGATAATTTTTCTTTCTTCCTCCCTTCCTTTCTGTGTCTCTATCTCACACACACACACACACACACACACACACACAAAGTTAGGAAGAATAGGAGGTGACTTTGTGGACGAAAAGCTGTTTTTCACTTCCCTCTACCATATAACTGAATTTAGATGATTCCCAACACGAGCCAAATATACAGTTTTAATAATGGGTGTTCCTTTAACAAATAAATAAGCAAATATATAATGCCAGGGAAATCTCCAGAACACTCTGAGTTGATGGGGCTGTTGTCATCAAAGAGGGCTTCCCTTTTGTTTGCTGCCCTGGGGTTTTCCCATCATGGGATGATGAATTGGAGTCAGACATGGGAGAGCAGAAAGGGGGCCTGTCTCGTCTAAAGCGGGAGACGGGCTATCGTGAAGGACCTTCTCAGTCCAGCCGCTTTAAGAAAGAGTGCATGTGGAAGATGAAAAGCCGCGAGCTGATGCTCTTAAGACTAACCAAGCTGTGCCTCCTGGAAAGTCTTCAAGAACCCAAAGTTACGGGGTGCCCAGTGAGTTGGAAGATTATTAAAGAGGAATCATGAAGAGGGAAGGCATTTCTTTTTTTTCCTTTTTCTCATTTTCCCTTTTTAAGATAAAAAAAGTTCTTAAAATTTACATATATCCCTGGAGGTTTTTTTTTTTTTTTTTTTTTTTTTTTTTTTTTTTAGAGATGAGGACTCACTATGTCATCCAGGCCAGCCTCAAGCTATCCTTCTGCCTTGACCTCCCTGAGTGCTGGGATTACAGGCATGAGCCACCCTGCCTGGCCTTGGCTGGCATTTCTTAATAAAGGAGAGAGCCTCACCCATGGAGGGCAGATACTTTGTCATATCCTTCTTTCCGATTTCTCCAGAGGGCCCAGGAGTGTGCCAGGCATGTGGGAGTCCTGCACAAACACACAGCAAACGGCCTTTTCTGCTTCATGGAAGTGAAGGACTTGAAGAGACCGCTAGAGTTCTTCCAGTTCACTCTCTCGTGCACTGTGAATGAAATCCAAACCCTTAAAGACAGCTGAGAGTTCATCAGAGTTTTAACAAGCAAGAGAAGGATTCCAACAGTATCACTTGTTACCCCATTTCAGAGTCTACCAGACTATAGTACAGGGATGCTTCCTTATGAGTAACTTAAGTGCCCTCGTGATTTCACTGTAGACTGAGGAGGTTGGTCCCATCACCAGCGCCCTTGACCTCCACAGGTCTGTTACATCTTTCCTCCACCCTCCCTTCCTCAGGCTGGAAAATCTTAGTTACTTTTATGTCTCAGAGGTGTAGCATATTTTTGGGAGGTGTTCTCATTTACCTTCTCTTATTATGAGCTGGGAGAATTCAAGTTTAAGAAGAAAAAGATTAAAAAAAAACTATAATCATAATATAATCATGATAAAGGCCAGGCACAGTAGCTCATTCCTGTAATCCCAGCATTTTGTGAGGCTGGGGTGGGAGGATTGCTTGAGGCCAAGAGTTCAAGGATAGCCTAGGCAACATAGTGAGACCTTGTCTCTATTTAAAAAATGGTTTTTATTAAAAAAAAAATGGAAAGATGGTTACAGCTCTTTCTTTCCTTCCTTCCCTCCTTCCTTCCCTTCCCTTTCTTCCTTCCTTCCTTCCTTTCCTTCTTTCTTTCTTTCTTTCTTTCTTTCTTTCTTTCTTTCTTTCTCTCTCTCTCTTTCTTTCTTTCTTTCTTCTCGCTTTCTCGCTTTCTTGCTTTCTTTTCTTTCTTCTTTCTTTTTTGAGATGGAGTTTTGCTCTGTTGCCCAGGCTGCCTGCCTGCCTGTCTTTCTTCCTTTCCTTTCCCTTTCTTTCTTTCTTTCCTTCCTTCCTTCCTTCCTTTCTTTCTCTCTTTCTCTCTCTTTCTTTCTTTCTTCTTTCTTTCTCTCTCTCTTCTTTCTTTCTTTCTTCTTTCTTTCTCTCTCTCTCCTTCCTTTCTTTCTTTCTTTCTTTCTTTTCTTTTCTTTTCTTTCTTTTTTGAGATAGAGTTTTGCTCTGTTGCCCAGGCTGCCTGCCTGCCTTTCTTTCTTCCTTTCCTTTCCTTTCCTTTCCTTTCCTTTCCTTTCCTTTCCTTTCCTTTCCTTTCCTTCCTTCCTCTTCCTTCCTTCCTTCTCCTTCCTTCCTTTCTTCCTTTTCCTTCTTTCTCTCCCCCCTCCTTTCTTTCTTTCTTTCTTTCCTCCTTCTTCTTTCTTCTTCTTCTTTCTTTCTTTCTTTCTTTCTTTCTTTCTTTCTTTCTTCTTTCTTTCTTTCTTTCTTCTCCTTCTTCTCGCTTTCTGCTTTCTTTTTTCTTTCTTCTTTCTTTTTTGAGATGGAGTTTTGCTCTGTTGCCCAGGCTGCCTGCCTGCCTGTCTTTCTTCCTTCCTTTCCCTTTTTCTTCTTCTTCCTTCCTTCCTTCCTTCCTTTCTTTCTCTCTTTCTCTCTCTTTCTTTCTTTCTTCTTTCTTTCTCTCTCTCTCCTTTCTTTCTTTCTTTCTTTCTTTCTTTCTTTCTTTTCTTTTCTTTTCTTTTCTTTTCTTTCTTTTTTGAGATAGAGTTTTGCTCTGTTGCCCAGGCTGCCTGCCTGCCTTTCTTTCTTCCTTTCCTTTCCTTTCCTTTCCTTTCCTTTCCTTTCCTTTCCTTCCTTCCTTTCTTCCTTCCTTCCTTCCTCACCCTCTTTCTTTCTTTCCTCCCTTCCTCCTTCCCTCCCTCTCTCTTTCTTTCTTTCTTTCTTTTTTTCTTTCTTTCTTTCTTTCTTTCTTTCTTTCTTTCTTTCTTTCTTTCTTTCTTTCTTTCTTTCTTTTCTTTCCTTCTTTATTCCTTCCTTCCTTCCTTCCTTCCTTCCTTCCTTCCTTCCTTCCTTCCTTCCTTCCTTCCTTCTCCTTCTCCTTCTCCTTCTTCTTCTTTCTTTTTTGAGATGGAGTTTTGCTCTGTTGCCCAGGCTAGAGTGCAGTGGTATGATCTTGGCTCACTGCAACCTCTGCCTTCCGTGTTTAAGCCATTCTTCTGCCTCAGCCTCCCAAGTAGCTAGGATTACAAAAGCGTGCCACCACACTCAGCTAATTTCTATATTTTTAGTAGAGACAGGGTTTCACTATGTTGGCCAGTCTGGTCTTGAACTCCTGACCTCAGGTGATCCACCCGCCTTGGCCTCCCAAAATGCTGGAATTACAGGTGTGAGCCATCATGCCCAGCCACAGCTCTTTCTAACTTAACATCTGTGCTAGTCATGGGAAAGTGCTGTGAATTTGTTGTTTCCTAATCTTCCCCCTCTCTCATTGAGTGATAGCTGCATAACCTAACATCAGCTCTTTCTTATCCTCCATGCCCTTGGTGGTAACTGGGCACCAGGCTGCCAAGGAGAAAGACTGCATTTCCCTCACAGCTGATTGTAGCCCCAAAGATGTCAACAGCTATGTTACATGACAGCCAGATGGAGAGCTGCTTCAAAGACAGTGCTTTTTGTCTTTTCTTTGCCTCTCCCACTAGTTGCTTGCTTTCAGTTATCTGTTGCCGTGCACCAAATCACTTCCACAATTAGTGGCTAAAATCACTACAGTTTATTACTTTTTGTGATTCTGTAGCTGGGAAATCTGGGAGGTTTCTCATGCCAGTCTCGCCTGATACCCCAGCTGCTGTTGGATCTAAGGTGGCCTCATCCACATGTCTGCCAGCGGAGGCTCCTCAGTTCTTCTCTGCGAAGTGTCTCCTCCTCCCAAAGCCACATGCACCTTATCACAACATGGCAGCCTCAGGGTTTCAAGAGCGAGAGAGAGGGAGCTTCGAGAGTGCTTAAGGACTAGGCTTTGTAATTTATACAACACCATTTCTGTCAAATTCTACTGGCCAACCTGGATTCAAGGGTGAGGAACTAGACCCCACATCTGGATGGAAGAATAGGCAGTGCCATTGACATTGCAGAGGGGTTTAGAACAAGGAGGCGTGATTCATTGGGGGACCATTATTAAAATCAATCTGCCGCACTCATTGGCTGGAATATGGACACGATGCTATTAAACAGAATTTAAGCAGCTGTCTTGGACAAGCTCTGCAGGCCTTGTGCTATGAAAATCGGAGAAACAACTTGGAAAGAGTCCCTGACATTTTGTGTAGCCTCCTTGTGAACCATGGACTGTCTGCCTCCGGTGTGCTTTCATTTGAGAGGTTGATAAATGCTTGTATTGTTTAGGCCACTGTCATTTTGGATTTTCTGTCACTTGCAGCCAAATCTATTCCTAACTTACATGCTTTCCAGTACTCACCCTCTTAAATGTTCAGCTCTGCTTAACAGCCAAGGCTACCACCACACACAGCGTACTGCAGTTTCAGGCTTGGAGAGGAAGGGAGGAAGCCTAACACGTGGGAGACCCCGTCCTGTTTTGATGTCATTGCCTGTCCCATTTGGCCAGCCTGGAAAAAATAAAATGAGGAAGGTGAACACGGGACTGAGGAAGGTTAGGGGTTGTCACAGGCCTGCCTGAAACACTGCCTGGTCCCATATTGGTCAATGTAATCTCAGCAACGAACCCAGGGGAGAGCCCAGGAACCACAGTGGCAGGTCTAAGAATGTTCCAGGCAAACTGAAAAAGCCAAACTTGCCCATGCATAGACGCTGTGGATCAGTGGTTCATTGAATGTGGTCAAAAGTGGACCTGCTCCCTGGTATAATGATAAGCTGTGTATCTCGGATTCCATCTGGAAGCCATTTTCGGATTTGCATTGTGAAGAGACGACGTTGAGTTGGGGCTCTCTGAACTCATCTGTGTTGCATGTGCACAAGGGTGGGTTTTAGAGACAAACAGCAGCTTTTCTCCTCCCCACTTTTTCTTCAAGTTTTATGGTTAGGTTTGGGCTTTATTTATAACTTGTCACATGGAGAAATCCAGCAGGGCACTATTCAGAGGCATCATATCATTTTACAAATTCCCCACTCATAATTAGTTTAGGCTGCTTTAAGTCTGCATTTTTTTTTCTATAATGATATAGTAGGCACAAAGTGTTAACTAGAAACAGAAATATTCGCCTCTTCCTCTGTCCCACCCTTACCCCCACCTCTGCCCGCGGGGGATGCCCTGGTAGCATACCTATGCCAGTGAAGAACGAGTCTGTCTGGAGGCTTCCGCCACTCTTGGAGGCCAGGGAACCTTGAACCTTGTCTCACCCGTTTCTCTCCTCCCAACAGAATGGCCTGCAGACAACCTGGACACATAGAAGGCATCCATCTGCATTTAAAGAAGCTCACAGACACGGCTGATTGATTCTGCGACCTTGCTTTGTTACTCATCTCTGAGGTTAGCGGCTTCACTGCCAGGGACCTTGTCCAGAGTTTCTGAGGCCTCCAACAGCCTGTGGTCTCCTGGTCACGCAGACCCTGCCGGTGGCTTCAGTGACTGGATCTTGCTGATGTTTGAACTGCCTTTAGCTGTCTGTGAAGGGCATGCTGGTGAGGCCACGGAGCAGGAAACCATGACAAACAACAGAACTACAGTCTGGTTAAAAAAGAAAATATACATATGCACATATGTATATTCCCCTACCCCAGGGGTTGAGGCTTTTTTGGCATAAATTTACATATATTTTGGCACAAATTTGCATACTAAGTTCCTAAGTCTCTACTTCCAAATAGAGTTACATGAGAACCTCTCATTTATGGCATTAACATTCGTATTGTTCCCCTTAGACCCATGTCACTGGCTCTTACTAATATACTGAGTTTCACCAGTTTGTCCTCCATTTCCTAGAATTTGTTCTAATTTTTAGGAAATGCTTACTAAATATCACTACTGTGTGTTGTGAAATCCAGCCCTGAAGGACATCAAAAGGTCTCTTGTTAGCTGGTAGCTATTGTTAGGTATTGTCTGTAGAGACATCGGGTCTCCTGGAAACATACCATAGGCTGTCCAAAAGTATTAATTATTAACTTGGGCCTTTAATTGTATTTATATGAATTAGAATATTATGTTTGTATGTAGAGAAAAGAGATTATATCTAAGCATTATAACTGTGTATAAAAAGGATTTTACCAAGAGTACTGGAAGGTGCATTATAGTTACTCTCAAATGTAATATTAGGGATTTATATTTACATATATTTGAGACAGGGTCTCGCTCTGCCCAGGCTGGAGTGCAGTGGTGTGATCTCTCAGCTCACTGCAGCCTCCACCTCCTGGGCTCAGGTGATCCTCCCACCTCAGCCTCCCAAGTAGCTGGGATTACAGGCACACTCCACCATGCCTGGCTAATTTTTTGTATTTTTCGTAGAGACGGGGTTTCGCCATGTTGCCCAGGCTGATCTGAAACACCTCGGCTCAAGTGATCCTCCCACCTCGGCCTCCCAAAGTGCTAGGATTACAGGCATGAGCCACCATGCCCAACCAATATTAATCATCGGTTCAAGAACAATGTTATCAAACCTACCTGCGTAATTACATGTGAGCTGGGGCAAGCTGTGCCACTGCCCTGGAGCCTCAGTTTCTTCCTCTGGAAACTGAGGGAAACCACACCAAATCTTAGTGTTCCCCTCATCTCAGGCAGCTGACGTCACCTTTAGAATTTTTGCCATCTTCTCATGTCGTTTATACTATTTCTTCGCATTTTTCTGGAATTTAAAACTTTTCAACTTAAACTGGCATGATCTAACTTAGCCTAGTCCTAAGCAAAAATCTCTGTGAAACTGCGTGTTTACTGTACTCTTTTTTCTTGCATATTAAAAGAAATGCATGACTCTTAAAATTTTTTTAGGGTGCTCGTTCGTATTCACTTGATATTCTCTCAGGTCCTGCTGCACTTTGAGAATGTGATACAAAAATCTTCAATGGTGTGCACGGGAGCTTGGTATAAGGCCCAGCCCTAGCAGTCATCAATGGTAGCTGAGGCAGAAACAGCTAGGTTCCTACCTCAACATTCTCCTTTTAACATAGTAACATGCCGACTTTCAGCTGGGCACACAATGGAAAACATTTCCCAGGATTCTCTGCAACTAGATAGAACCATGTAACTTTGTAACATAAATGTAAACATAATATTTGGGACTATGCCTGGACTGAACAAAACATTTAGTAAAGCTGGGCATGGTGGGGTTTGCCTGTAGTCCCAGATACTCTGGAGGCTGAGGCAGGAGGATTGCTTGAACCCAGGAGTTTGAGGCTGCAGTGAGCTATGATCTATGATGACGCCACTGCACTCCAGCCTAAACAACATAGTGAGACCTTGTCTCTAAAAAAAGAAAATACATTTAAAAATATATTTGGTGAGGTTTCTGAGAATCCCCCTTACGAAAGAGAAGCCATTACTTCTGCAACTTCCTCCGTTCTGCTTACTCAAACTTGAATGGGAGGGCAGCTCTCTCAAACCATAAAGATGAAGGCTGTCCTTGGTAGAACTAAGAGCCAGAAAAGGCTAAGTTCTCAAGAATCATTTGGAACTGCAATAGTGGTCCAGGACTACCTATCTCTAGACTTCTTTTACATAGGGAGAAATATACTTCTCTGTGAAGCCACTACCTTTTAGGATTTTCTGTCACTTGCAGGTGAATAGAAATCTATTGGATACAATATTGTGCACATGGTAGGTGGGCTGTCAGTGGTGAGCTGGGGCTGCCATTCAGGTTAGAACTGACTATTAAGTTTTCATGAATTTTGCATGCTGGTGAATGTCACATTGGTAGCTTGAAATTGGCCGTGGTGGGAGTATTTACACCACAGGAATTGGCAAATGCTACATACACATCAGGGCTTTATTTCCTCCAAGAGGTCTAGTTATTGACTACTTACCATTTTTCATCACATCACTGTGGGATTAAAAGATTTTATCTACTAAAGTTGGCTAATGTAGAGAGGTGATCTGACCTCTTCATTTACCCTCAATTTGTTCAAATTCGAAGTCAGGGACTATATCGGGCTTAGACTTCCATATTGTCTAGCTCTGATGTCGAATGGAGGAAGTGTGAATGTTGCTTATAGGTCTGCTGTGGACAGTGTCCAACAGGTCAGTAGTAAAAGAACCTGCTCACCCCTCGCTGAGGGGATAATGATGAGGGGATGGGAAATTAGCGTTCTGACTTTGCCATCAGGTGTGAGAAGTACTGAAGCTCATATACAAATAACTAACTTGCCAACCAGTTTTTCTTTTTCCTTTTAAAAGGTGGAAGCAGATAACTTGGGAATAGATATGCCCACGTTCAGAATTTACTGCTACAGCACAATTAATTATATTTAAACAATATAAGCTACATATGGATTAAGCACAAATGTAAACCCCTCATATAAATTAAACTAATGAATTTAACTTTTCCATAGTCAGATCTTATTTTTAATGATTCTTTTTCTTACATTTCTGTAGGTATAAAGTTGTCAGGTATAATCACTGTCAAACGGTTAACCATTTGCTTTGGTATCCTTTCTGTTCAGTTAATGTTCATGCATGGTTTCACCTCAACCCAGGGAGACAGTCCCACATTTTAGGGGATAGATTAGTGTACCTTCATGGGACAGCAGAGGCTTTGGCATAGACGAGTTGTGTTGAAACTGGTTTCTCTATGCTTACAGCTGCCTAACTTTACAGTAACTTATTTAACTACTGTATCAGTTATCTATTGCTGCATAACAAATGATCTTAAAACTTAGTGACTTCAAACAGCTGTTTATTATTTCTCATGATTCTGGGGCTTGACTGACTGATTTTTCTGCTGGTCTTGCCTGGGCTCACTCAGGTCCCTGCATTCAGCTAGTGGCTGGGATGGAACTGTTAACCACAGAGTCTTGGTTTCCTTCCACGCGCCTTTTCTTTTCTTTTCTTTTCCTTTTCTTTTTTTGAGACAGAGTCTTGCTCTGTCACCCAGGCTGGAGTGCAGTGGCACGATCTTGGCTCACTTTAACCTCCGCCTCCCAGGTTCATGCCATTCTCCTGCCTTAGCCTCCCGAGTAACTGGGACTACAGGCGCTCACCACTACGCCCAGCTAATTTTTAGTATTTTTAGCAGAGACGGGGTTTCACCGTGTTAGCCAGGATAGTCTCGATCTCCTGACCTCGTGATCCACCTGCCTCGGCCTTCCAAAGTGCTGGGATTAAAGGCGTGAGCCACCGCGCCTGGCCTTCCACGCGCCTTTTCTATGTAAATCTCGAGCTTCCTTATAGCCTGGTGGCCTCAGGATTTCAAGAGAGAGAAAGCAGAAGCTGCTGGTCTACTGAAAGCCAGAGCTCAGAAGTCCCAGAGTACTTGCTCCTGCCTCATTGTGTAGTCACAGCAAGTCAAATATTCACAGGGAGGAGAAATAGACCCCATCTCATGGTAGCAAGAGCTCTGCACATGAGAGATGAGAGGAATTTTTGGCAGCTATATTTTCAGGCAACTTAGGATAACCCCTTTGAATCTCAATGTCTTTATTTTTGAAAAGGGGAAAATACATATTTTGCAAAGTTATTGTGAAAATTCAATGAAATAATGTGTAAGAAACTACTGACATAAACCTGATACATGAAATAGGTGCTCAATACATGGCCGCTCCCGCTTCCTCCCCTTTCTTTGGGTGCTACTCAGATGCGGTCGCCTGCTGGGCTTCTACCCTGCAACGGGTCTCCACCTCCCAGGCACACACATGCCCAAGACCTTGTGGAGGTCTCAGAGGTCTAAAGATGGGGACGGATGACGTGCATTCTGAATATCACAGCTAGAGGCTGTACGCTTGTTTGGGGTCCTTGGTGATGGGGCAAATACAAGGGGGGGCACAGAAAAGAATATTAAGAGTGGGGTCTAGGAGCTGCGTGCGAAGCGGTGCCCAGCAGATGCGGGAAACACAGCGGTAGTCACTGTCATGCCTGGAACCTGCCTGAGAACCTTCTGCTGCCTTCTGATCTTAAAGAAGTAAAAGAAAATTCATCATGGCTCTCAGCAGGTGTGTGGCAGCGGGAGAAGAAAGAGAGAGAGAGAGAGAGAGAGAGACGTTTCCCTCAGGGGATATTGAGCAATGTCTGGAGACATATTTGGTCGTGACAACTTTGGTTATCACAACAGGGGGAGGGTCGCATCCAGTGGGTAAGACTAGGGGTGCTGCCAAACACCCCACAGTGCCCAGGACAACCCCCATCATAAAGATTCATCTAGACTGAGGTGGAGAAACTCTTCCTTAGAGCTATCCTGATTTCTGCTGGAGAAAGAGAAGGTGCCCTGCCCATTCTCCACCCACCATTAGATGAGGGGTCCCTGACAGTTTGAAAACTCCTTTAACATTAGACAGGTATGGTGGTGTGTGCCTGTAATCCCAGCTACTTGGGAGGTTGAGGCAGGAGGATTGCTCGAGCCCAGGAGTTCAGGACCAGCCTGGGCAATGTAGTGAGACCCCATCTCTACCAAAAATTACAAAAATTAGCTGGGTTTAGGTCTACATGCCTATAGTCCCAGTTATTCAGGAGGCTGAGGCCAGTGTATTGCTTGAGCCCAGGAGGTTGAGGCTGCAGTGAGCTGTGATCACGCCACTGCACTCCAGCCTGGGCAACAGAGGGACACCCTATCTCAAAAAATATAAAAATAAAAAACTTTAACAAGATATAATTTTTTTCATACTCTAATTAATAGAGTTAAAATTCTATTCACGGAGTTCCATAGTGTGGGCCTCTGCATGCGTTACGGTCAAAGGAGCTAGAAAGATAGAGGGAGGATGCTTCTGGTTGGCACGGACTAAGTTATAACAAGAGTTTAGCGGAGTTAATATCTATCAAGTCCTCACTGCATCTCAGGCCCTGGGCTGAACACACCAGGCATGTTTCTGATGTCAGCGGCCTGGTGGCCAAAGTTTTGTAGCTCACAGGCCACACTCCACTAGAATATTTAAGTACTAATTACTTACCTGGTGGGTGGGAACACCTTCCCTGGGTGCACTGTCTACCATTTACATAGAATATTGGGATGGGGTGGGGCTTACGTGTCTTCTTGTCATTTATTTATTTTTAACAGCTTTATTGAGATATAATTCACATACCATTCGATTCCGTAATTTAAACTGTACAATTCAATGGTTATTAGCATAATCACAGAGTTGTGTAACTGTCATTACAGTTGACTTTAGAGCATCTTCATCACCCTAAAAAGAAATTCCAGTATGATTTCAACTATATGGCATTCTGGAAAAGG